GAGTTTACTGCAGAGGTCACCAGGTAAGTGACAGTGCCATTACATAAGATGGGAAGCTCAGAAGAACAGGGTAGGAGGAGAAAAAGGGGAGACAGTGAGGTCTATTTTGGACATGCTGAGTTTGGGGTAACTGAGATACAGGTGCTGTCCAGAACTCAGTTGGAAATAATGGCTTAGAGCTCAGGCGAGGCTACAGTAGGAGGAAGGCTCTGAGTCACTGGTGTAAATGGTAGCTGAGATCCCAGGAATGGATGAGGTCCAGACAGAGAGTAAGCAGCAGAAAGAGGCCAACTGGCCTCCCATAAGCAGTGTCCTGGCGAAGGTTCCCAAGGCTACCCTCCAGCAGTGTGATGCTGTCCAAATGACTTCCTTTCTCTACCCTTAGAGTCCGTGAAAGCAGAAGGTTGGACTAGGTCTCCAAGGACACTTCTCTGGCATTCAACCACTAACGGGTGACGGGACGTCACCTCTGGACCAAGAAAGATGGCTGCTGCTGAGCAGACACCAGCATAACAAGCCGGCCCCCGGCTTTCCAATGGGGAACACAGACACATAAATAAGTCTGCTTGAGATGCCATGATTAACAGCTATCATAAAGGCAAGAGCAGGAGGCAGCAGGAAGGACTCCTGAGTGGAAGTGCTTGTCTGGGGGAATTCCAAAAAGGTGCACTGAGAAGAAACTTGATCATGACCTCAAAGAAATAAGAGAACTTTCCCAAGCCAATGCAAGGCCATGTGCAAAGGAACAGGAAAATGAATGAACATGGAATAGCTAGGGAATTGTTTCCCCCATGTAGCAGGAGTGGAGGGGGGTGTGGGGCTTGAAGAAAGGAGGCAGCAGGGCCAGGGTCAATAAAGGAACCTAACAGGATCTCAAATATAGGGGCACAATAGCAAGGTGTTTCCAAGAGCTGGGTAGAAAGAAAAAGTTCACCACACCCTAACAGGCAGTACGTCCAAGCCTTTCTCTCTTATCCTGCAGATGGTGTCATAGCAATAAGCAAAACTTTTGATGAAGTTTTGAATACTAACATAAATATGATGGTACATTAAACTAGAAATGCCCTACATGGATAGTAATTCACAACATCATGCAGAAAAGGGGGCCAGACTTAAGAGCTTAGGCACATCTCATTCTGCAACAAACCATTTCTAAGTACTTGGCACTAGTGTCAAGATCCTAAGGCTTCAAGCAAGGTCTCCACCACCCCCGGGACTCTGTCAGGAAGTGAAGACAGAGCCAGAATGTTGAGATGGTGTCTTTTACCAAATCAGACTGAGGACCTTCCAATCCCGAATTGCTCTTGCGCTATACTCTCTCCACCTGGCTCTTGTTTACCGTATCCTCCACTCCGATTCTATGCACTGAATGCCTGGCCTCTCTTGACTCTTCTCTACAAAATCCAATCTTGCAATCAATACTCTGCAATCTTGGAGCCCTCTTTTTCTCTTGTTGCCAAGAGGGTCTTATGTCTCCCTTCAACCTCAGGCTTCTCTTGGCACCCACTCTACTTTCTTTTTCTTTTTCTTTTTTTGGTACCAGGGATCAAACTCAGGACCTTGCACTTGCGGAGCAGGCGGCGGAACCACTGAGCTAAATCCCTGGCCCCCAACTCTACTTGCAAACTTTCTCACTACCCTATTTGCCCCTTCCGCAGAGTCCAAAAAAATCCAATGTCAACAGGCTCATCATCCTTTTAAGTCACTATTTACTTTTTGCTGCAGCCTGAGCTTTTGTGAAGGAAGAGAGGCAGATCAGAGGCCAGAGAGCAAAGCTAGCTGTGGTGGCTGAGGCAGATGCTAAGCACCACACCCCACTCCTGCCTGAGCTTCTAAGCTCCCACGCAGCTCTACCCTCTGGCTCCCAGGAGACTTGGCTGCATTCTTCTCTCTACTCAAACATCTTCTTGCATCAGATTACTTTTTCCTTTGTGTACTTCATGTTCCAGACCCCCGAAAACCACACTGGCACCACCCCAGGGTAAATGTACCTCAAGCTCTTTAGCAAGCCTTCCAGGCCAAAGGCTTCTGCTATCAAACTTCTCCCAGACTAGGCCCACCAACCTCCTATTGAAACTTGCACCTGACAAGGCAGCTCAATTTCCCTTCTGTAGTCAGGGCTTCAAAATATAGATGTCAGTTTTTAGATCCCACCTTATTTTTGTCCCCACCAGGCCAAGGATAATACCTCAACATAGTATTTTGTCTAGTTAGTAAGTTAACAATGGCAGAGACAGCTGTGGGTTTGAGGAATCCAAGGAAAATGGAAACACAAGAATGTCAAACATGTCAGTGGGAGGAGTCAGCTCACACTTACTGTATGTGGATAAACATACTCTTCACACTGGGCAGAGAAATCCAAATATGGAAACTCTGACTGCTACCACATCTGTAAAAGGCAGAGACCCTGCTGTTTTGGCTTTCTCAGATTGTCAAGACAGAAGAGATGTTCTAGAAACTCAGATTCATACCATGAAAAGCAACGTTTATCATCTTGCCTCTCTGTCCTCCTCCATCCTAGAAAAACTGGATAATATGCATTATTCAATGACTTAAAACCTCTCAAGGCTGCATTTGGCTACTACACCCACTTAAGGAACACAGACACTGTTAGAGGTCAAAGGTCCTTAGTGCTGGAACCTAAATTCAATGCCCTTGAGATAAAAAATGGAGCCCTAGACAAGGGCTTCCTGACTCTGCTTAATTCATTATTACTTCTGGGTTCTCGGCAGAACAGGTCTCACAAACCCAAGATCATATTTCCTGTGAAAAGAGCCCTAGCTGAGTGAAAGTCCAATAAACGAATGAGTGAAATTTGCTCCATGTAAATATTCGTGAGTCATCTCCAGTACTAATAAAAGAAATTCAGAGAAGCCAGTGGTACCTAGGAATGATCATAGCACTTTGAGTGTAGAAATAAATGCTAGGATTCTGGAGATGACCTCAATCTTCCTCCAGAATCATGGACTATTAGGACCAGAGATTATTTACTCCAATGAAATGAGCAACCCAGAGAAGGAAACGAGTCTGCAAAGGACCCTAACTCATGGGAATCTGAAATGGACCCTCTTCCTTGCCTGCTTCTTCATTCCTCACCATGCATGGGAAGGTTCACACCGTTCCAGCCACCAGTGAAGACTGGCCAGTGACACTCCCATGAGGGAGGCAACAAGCTGGAGTCATCGTCCCTTAAAAGCGTGAGGAAAGTCAGGTTCACCTCTGGTACCCAACTGGCCACATCCCACCTAGTTCCTACAGACAGAAATACAGGTGGTCACAGGCACTTGTTTGTGCACCTCTCCTCTACTGTTTGAGTCACTGTTGGGGCTGGACCATAGGACAAAGATCATTAGGAGGGGACTTGGGGTGGAAATTATCAGCATCATTCAGGTAACATGAATGCCTCAGAGGCTAAGTTATTTATACCTTATATCTTATCCCAAAACAGACATGCACACACGCACACACACACAGTTTTCCTCTGAACTAAATGGCAAAATCATACAGAGGACTGTTTCTCAAGTTTCATGTACCTATGAAGGTCTCAACCAGGGAGGCATCTTGTCAAAAATGGAGATTCTGATTCTGTAGCCCAGGAAAGCAGCCTAAGATTTTGCACTTCTGAAGAACTCCCTGGACATGTCAGTGTTACTGGTCCGAAGACCACACTCCAAGTAGCAAAGGGTAGATATTTATAAAGCCTGGAATCAAATAAATCTGGTTTAAATTCTGGCTTTAACTTTTAGGAGCTGTGTGAGCTCGGGCTGGGTTTCTAACTTCACTATGCCTCAATCTCTTCCCCTCTAAAATGCAAATAATGATGCCTAAGAAGCACTTGATGATGATGACATAAGCTAATGATGCAAAGCTCTTAACACAATACATGGCATATAGCAAGGCCTATTTAATAAATGTCAGTTGTTGGCTGCCTAAGATTCATGAGGGCAGAGATAGTAACTGACTCACTTCCAAAACCACAACAGCTGGAACACAGTAGGTACTCAGTGAACGTTTGATGAATAAATGTGTAATACACTCACACATAATGTCAGTATTACACACTCCCTTGGTTCTCTGGCTTTTCTGCAGGAAAACCTAAAGCATTTAGAACACCAGAACTGTCATCAGTAACAAACTATCAACTCACAAGAATCAAATTCAATATTAACCACCATATTTAACCACCAAGAAATAATATAATTTGTGGTGGCTATATATACTTGAGAAAATGTCTTAACTGTAAATAAATAAAGACAACACCAGTCTGGAATCTGTATGTCATTAAGAGAAATTACTGCCTTGCTCATTATTTATGGGCTGCCTGAATGCAGATGTTATGAAAAAATTCTAAAACTAAGCTCATTTCCAAACTAAATGGAGAACTCCAGAGAGAGACAAAACAAACCATGGGAAGCAAGACTACATTTTAAAGAGCCACTGGACAGGAGTACATTCTCTCAGAAATGCATATTCTTGCTCAGGAAAAACTAGAAACAGAGTAATTAACAAATGGTAGAGCTTAATCTTTTAAATCGAAGACAGACAAATGAGTCCAACTTGTTTTCAAAATTCTTTCAATCTAAGATTGCTTCCCATTCCCTAAAGAAAATGGCATCATTAGACTAGATCTCATTCTAGGGAGGCATTGTGTAAGGTAGGCAACAACAAGAGAATACGATTGCCACCTACAGACAGAAATGGCATTCCCTTTGCCAAGAGCTGGCCAATCGTATTTTACTGTGAAAAAAGAATTCAACCAAGTCACCTCCCTCCAACCTCTTCCCAACCACTATACCACATTACTTCATTTAGAATTACTTTTAAGTCATGCAATCAGCATTAGGCATTATGCCACTTCATTATCATCATCTTATTTCTAATTTCCAGAAACACTATACCATTCAACTATCTACTTATACACTATTCAAGAGCCAAAGAGAAGCAAGCCAACGGATTTCAAGCCGCCAAAGGCACCAGAGTGAAAGTGTAAATTTGCTTACCTGATATAAATGGAACCACCCGGAATATATCTGACAACCTGCTGTTAACTGGTTCATACGGGGAATCTTCCAGCAGATCATTTCCTACAACAGAAAGACTGGGCTCAGATCTGAAAAACAGATGCATTTCACGCAATGTGTTGCTGCTTAATCTGAATTCAAATTATGTTATGATTGTGCAACAAAAAAGATACTAAAACTTTCAAACATTTCAAATGCATGTATTTGGCTATGGTTATTTTTCTTTTCATTCCTCTATCTCTGTTATGTTTGTTCTCCCCAGAGTGCCATGAAAACACTGGAGAAAAACCTAGCCTGTTTCTTGCCAGAAAACTCTCCCACTCCACAAACTGAAATCAGAGAGAAAAGTGCCAATGACATCACAAGCCTTGCTCGCCTCCACGAGCCAATGGAAGAAAGGTGACCCAGAAAAAGGCCCCCTTTCTGTATGCTCCCCAAACACGGCATGCAGCCAGAAAACAAGTATACTGTTTACTAACAGAGTCCATCTCTGAAACAGATTTTTATGAGTACAGATTCTAGAGAAAGTTGTAACTGACAGATCAAATCTGTATATTACAATTTCTCAGGGTGAGCCTCAGTGAAGAATTAATATACAGGATTTTGTGTCAGATTTACACACTGGAGCCACCTTTAGCACACAAGTACCCAAAATTCCTCATCAGAATGGGTGACTGTGACAAATGATCTTTCTCTCTCTAAGCTACTTCTGTGTTAACCAAAGTTGCACCATAGCAGCTGGTTCAAGACTCAGCTAATCTAAGATGACAAATGGTTTTTCATCCATCTGCCTTTGATCAGGTTTGAGAGGGGTAAAGATAGAATGGACTCCACTAAACCTTTTAGAGTTCTTTTTCCTATGTCAGAATAGGTAGAAGTGAAGAAAGGAGGAAACTGGAAAAACGCAGGGCAAGCCATTATATCACTAGTCTGGGAAGCCAGCTAGAGCCTCAGGATGGCTCTCCTTGGAGAGAAGCTTCGGGTTCCTCGGGTAGGTTTTAATGGGTCCCTACTCGGATGTTCTGACCAGGTTTCAAAAAGGCCAACAGGGTCCCAGAAGTGCCCCCACCCACTCTTGGGGTTTCCAACAACCAACGGCAACAATGCTGCTCAGCCTCAGCAAACACCAGCTGCTGCTGTCCCTTAGGGCCAATGAAAGGTCCTCATCCTGCAGCTGGTGAGAACTGAGAGCAGGAAGAGCTCAGCCAGTGCAGGACCAAGGGTCCACCTGCCTTCCAGAGGGAGCGGAAGGGGTGGCGGGCGGCGGGTGCATACCCTGCAGGCTCTGGTACATGCTCCAGTAGATGCGCAGGCAGTTCTTCTCCTTTTTCATGCCCCGCTTGCAGCGGCAGTTGTAGAGCGACTTCTGCTTCAAGGCCTCCATGGCGCTGCGGCACTCATCCTTGGCCTCGAGGCCAGATGCCAGGCTGAAGTTGGTCTCCTTACCCGCCACGCACTGCCTCAGCGTGCGGTATTTGGTGCTGCAGCTCTGCTCCTTCAGGCACTGATCGCTGGCTTTCACGCAGTCCAGGCGGTCCCCGCCGCTCACCTCAGCGGACAGGAGCAAGTCTGCGGGCGAAGGGGAAGAAGCCTGAGTGGGGCCTGACGGGGTCCCGACACCCGGGTCCCGGAGGAGGGCGCGTGCCCCGGAACTAAGCTCGCCCAGCGTTCGGGGCGCCCTGGGGAAGGAGCGGGTCCACTCCGTGCTGCACGGAGTTCGTTTCCCGCCCACGGAACGACTGCCGCCATCCCTTCCTCCCCGGGCTAGGACGGGACGAGGCGCCGGAGACTCCCCCGTAGGCATCGCTGGTTTGACCCACAGCCGGCGGCGCCTACTGTGCCCACCGCCCCTCCGCCCTGGGGCAGCTCGGCCTCAGCGGCTGCCCCGCCTCCCCGGAAATCCCGGGCTGCAGCCGCTCGCACTTCGAGTCCCGGCCGGGTTGAAGCCCGAGGGCGCTCGGGGCCAAAGCGTGGAGGCGCGAGCTGGGCGAGAGGCAGGCGGGGGAGCGGCCGTCCGCAGTCTGCCCGGCGGGGAGCGCCGAGACGTTATTCGGAGAAAAGTTTCCCTTCGAAGTTTGCTCTTTCGGTCCAGTGTGAGGCCACACTCCACCTGCCTGCGCGCCTCCTCCAGCTCCTCGGGGCTCGAAAGGGGCGCCGGGCCTGGGGCTGAGGGTTCACCCGCCTTCGCTCCCCGCCAGTCTGGGTCAGTAAAAGCCACAGCAAATAAAAACCAAGCATGAAGCGCTCCGGGCAGCGCAACGCGGTCACCGCTTCCCAGGCCCAGGGATCCGGGAGCCCCTTCCCCAAAACGAAACCTCCTCCTCCCACATTCACCGCACCCGCGCCGCAATTTGTTTTTGAAAAGGGGTGGTGGGTGCCGCAAGGCACCCACGGAAAAGACTCAGTCGGTAAGTAAGTCGGGGAGGCCTCGACTTACCCAGGAGCGGCAGCGCGAAGTACAGGGTCGCCAGGAGCATGGTGCCGGCGCGCGGCTGGTCCCCGCCCCCCCAAAAAATCCCGAGCCGCCGCTTGGTCTATCGGAGGGAGCTCAGCATACAGCGATCCCCGGATGGCCGCGGTGCTCTGGCAGCCCAAAGTTCAGCTCCATCCAGCAGGAGAGGAAATCCTCGGCCCGTCCGCCACCACAGTCACCCGCGACGCAGCTCCAGAAGGGCGTGAGCGCCGGAGGCGGTTCTGCTTTGAGGGGCTCAGGTCCGACCCAACCTGGAAGGGAGAAGGCGCCTTCAAATGTGAGCCCAGAGCCTTGAAACCTCCCCCCTTACCGCCCCGCTCCCTCCCTCGCTCCCGCCTTTGGGGACTCGGCAACACCGGGGTGGAAACCCACCCCTACCCGGTCCGGCCGCTGGGAATGTATGGGGGAGGGGGCCACACGGGCTGCAGCAGGCTGCAGAGGTCGGACGCGGGCTCCCAAAGTCCAAGGGGGGTGCCTATGGGTTGCAGCCCGAGAGGCTGAACGCAAGCGAATAAATAAATCAATATTACTTTCTGAGCGCCGCGAGCGGAGCCAGCAGCTGCCCGGAGTCGGAGCCCTCGGCGGCGGCGGCAGCGGGGGCGGGGGCGGCGGCGGCCGCAGCTTCCCAGCCAGTTCCGGCGTGGAAAGAGCCCCTCCTCGCGGGAAGTTGGCCGCCCCCTCCTCTCGCCGGTGAGTGCGCCAGCTCCTTCGCGGGCTCGGCCGCCGGCCCACCGCACCCAAACCACCAATCGCTACGCCTGGTCTCCGACACCCCCCTCCCCCTGGAGCTCGCCTCCTTTCCGCGGCAGTCGAGCGAGAGGGACCTGTGTCCAGGCTGCGGCTGGAACCCGGCTCCTGCACCCCTGCGCGCCGCGCGCCCTCCACTCCCTCCTCAATGGCAGCGCCTTCCACACACTCGCCCGAGCGCCCAGGGCCCGGCGCACTCACACTACCGCGCCGGGAGAGCGTGCTGGGCCGCAGAGCCCGCGCGCCCGGCAGGTGCAGCCGGGCGCCAAAAGCAACCTCCCCGGGGAGCCCAAAGTTGGCCTAGAAAGTGGAAAGGGGTGTCTGGGGCAGGAGAGAGGGAGAGCGGTTCGGGTTTCCAAACAGTACGAGAAAACTCCAAAGCCCACCGACCTGGACTCAACCGACCGCGTCCAGCTGAGGCGAGAAGCCAGTTATTTATTTATTTATTTATTCCTTCTTTCTTTCTTTCTTTCTTTGGAGAGGGTGTCACCTCCTCCTCCTCTTCCTCCCCCTCCTTCTCCTCCTTCTCTTTCCGGGCTCACTTTCTGTGCGCTAGGAAAAAAAGATACAGTAATCTTCCAGAGCTCCCGGGGCCGAGTTGGCCAGGACAATTTCCGAGCAGAGACACGGGCTAGGATGCTCAATGGGGATGTTAATGGTTATTGGAAGCGGTGAAAAGCATAGCGTGGCCAGATTTCTCCTGGCCAGAGCACTCTGGGTCTGGTGTTGTTCCCGTCGCCAGGCAGGGTATCACAAGTCGCCTCCGAAGCTCCTCCGCCCAGCCGGCTGATGCACACGCTCGCGCGTCCGCTGTGGGACCCGGAGCTGACCAGCAGGCGCGCACAGGATGCGCAGCGCTATGCAGCGAGCCGCCGGCGCCGCCAGTCTCTCTCTCTCTCTCTGCGCGCGCGCACACAAAGAGTACAATGCACAAGGGCCCTTCTTTCTTGTTATTGTATCCCTGCCATACTCTTCTGAACACAAAGTTATTGTCCCACGACACTCGGGGCTGTGACTCAAGACTTGGCGCGTTCAAGACACACTCAAACCTAAGCCCCCAGCAGTGATCGTGGGATGTGCCCTCCAGCTCATTTACGCCAGCACACACACAGTCACACACATACACCCCATATGTGCAAACGCAGTGTTTACCTGTCTCCTCCAGCTTGGACAGCGAGACGGAAGCTGAGAACCCAACCCACTACAGTTAAGCCTGGTCAGACCTGGCTTTGGGGAATTTATAAAGTGACCTCCAACTTGGCTGTTTCACGAGTAAATTAAAAAGAAAATTTAAAAAAAACAACAACGATAGCCCTTCACCCCAACTTCTGGGACCGCTTTTCCCCAGTCCTGCTGCTGAACCCCCTATTCCACTGGGACAGGCGCTTCACTTCGCACACACTTGGAGGAGCTTGGGGCACCCAAGTCTGCACTAGGTTGGAGACCGAGTTTGGGGAATAATGGTAGGCGGCTGTCTGTCGGCTCCGGGCTTTTATTCAAGATCTTTGCTGATGTCCAAGTTCATCTCTCAGGGAAACCCAATTTGAATCAAGTCTGCGTGAGCTCAGGTGTCAAATCTGCAACCCCATCACACCAAACAATGGGCTGCCATGAAGGACAGAACAGCAACCTTCATTTTGATCGAGGGGGGTTAATTGAAAAGGGCAAGGGCTTTGATTGAAGTTTGAGGCCCGGGTGTAAGGGTGGGGAGAAGAGGAGGAGGGGTGGATAGCTCTCCATTCAACTACACATCAGCAGGCACGCCCATCAGCTGTGGCAGCAGCCTGAGTGCTGCGCATTGTTTGGAGTTGCCAAAATGTGTCTGCGCCTCACTGTGAGCCTCATTTTGCACCTCAAAGCCCGCAGACATCCCACCAATACACGCACCTCCTTGGCTGCATACAGGTTCCTCAGAGGCAGGTATGAAGAAACTGATGCCTTCATCAGGCATCTCTCCTTCAACACACACACACACAGTAACACAAGACAGATTTCTAGTTCAGTGTATCAGTTTACACTTGGTTGTTGAGTAAACAAAGCAAACATATGTCACATTTTCACAACAGATGGTTCAAACCAAGACCCTACTTTTCTTTCTCTACCAGTGTAAGTCAGACTTACAGGATGGATTAATCAGAAATATAACTAAGTCTTCCAGTTTCTTTGCTTTAAAGAAGTTTATTCCCAAATTCTCACACACAAACTATAACAAGGCAATTTTGGTGAGAGGAAGGCTGAAAAGAAATTAAGAGTTTATCTGAAGGCTGTGTTTCATCATAAATGCTCAAAACATAAAACCCTCCTTCATCGTTTTACTTTATAAGTGTAAGCGTAGGTCTTCCTTTGGGATATCAGTAATTGTATGCAATTCTACTCTTCAGTAGATGGACTGGAGTACCTATCACTGTGAGCACTTGGGATGGTTTTAGGACAATGAGAGTTCCTTTAAGACATCATTCACATATTTCATAAGTTCTTGGTTTATGAAAGACTCCATGTTACCCTATATATTCCACGGACATTCTTTAAATCAAATTTTAATAGAGTGGGGGAAAGGTGGGCTAAAAGTTCTCCAAAAGTAGGATATGGACCCTCTTTTAAAATACTAACAGCTTCAAGAATATTTCAGACCCATTCACTCAAACTAGCCCTTATTAAATTCTTACGGATGTTGAAAACAAAATTTCTATTTCAAAATAATAATTATAAACCACCAGCTGCTGTAACTATGTTATCCAATGCAATAGTCATTAGCCATGTGGCTACTTCAATGAAATTAATTAAAGTTAAATACAAGAAAAATGTAGTTCTTCAGTACCACTAATCAATAACCACATGTGGCTAATAGCTACCATATTGGACAACACAGATAATAGACCATTTCCATCATCATGGAAAGTTCTATGAGCAGCACTACCCTAATGTTGGCATGAAATTAGTTAATATGGTGCATATATAAAAGTTCTTAGAATAATAGATTTGTGCAGTCATAAAGTGCTTTATAAACAGCAGCGGTAGTAGGAGATACTATTGTGGAGGTAATGATAATGATCTTCATGTAGATAATGATGATGATATTCATTTACTCTCCTGGGGAAGTTGAAAAATCCACGAAGACACAGCCAATGCCAGATATGTTCTTCACTCAGGATGAGACCAGTAGGCAAAAAAGCCAAGCAGTAGAGGAATGGGTATGTCAGAAGCTCATCCCTCCCCCCCAGGAGAGCTATGAATGGTAAGATGTGACCCATAACCTAGCCTAAGACTTGTTATAGTAGAAGGTAATAAAAATCACTGCTTTACAATTGTATCCACTGACTGCTAAAAGTCAGAGAAATATATAGGCAGAAAGCCCTTGGAGTATGAAAGATGAAAAAGCAGTGACTCACTATGTTAATATCATCTATGTTTCCTTGATGGTTATCTGTTCTTCTGTGTACAAGGCTGATCTTAGGGTAAAAAATGACATTGAATATCAAATATTAGTAATTATAAAGGTTCACCCAATCGTCTGTGACGTTTTCTCTGCAGAAAATTGGTTGTAATGCCACAAAATTAGGTTTAATCCACCCATAAACACTTGAAGGGAACAATCGCCTTGTATTTCTTGATGTATTTTCACAAGATAGCAGATGAGTCATGATGAGTATGACAGTTTTATTTCATGCAACATTTGTCTCTTACTGTCATTGTGTTGGCCTTATAGACCATAATGTAAAATGCATTCATTTTGTAAAGTTATGTTGCTCAAAAGTCACTCATGTTTCTTTAATTCAAATGAATCGATCAGAGTCCATTATTTGACATTAGTTTGACAGGCTGTCCTCTGTAGATACACAGAACCACTCTCCAGTCTCCGAATGTGCCAGGCTCTCATTTATTTGTTTAATTTTTGCTGCTACGATTTTGACCATTCTGTTCCATCTGCTTAATATGTGCTTCATTCTGATATTTTCAGGGTCAGCTCAGCTGAACAGGTCACTAACGATAGCAAAAACTCCTCCCACTGGAACTAATAGCTTCCCGTAGTGTAGCCTGCAGTCCCATTGGAGCCTCTGTCATATCTGTTATGACATTACTTTGCATTTACTTGCTCCATCTGTCTCTTCAACTGAAGTGTGAGCTTCTTGAAGGGAAGAAGATATGCCAGTCCTTTTTTTTTCTTGCATCTCCAGCACTTAGACTTATGACTGACACATAGTCACCACCAATAAATGTCAATTGATTGCATGAATAAGTGATGCTATTTCTTATTTTCTCTGACATCATAATTTTACTCAAAGATTTATGCAATCCCTTTACTATATGAACAATACTAAATATAAGTACCTCATATAATTATTAGTATTGCTGTTTCAAGAGTAGTATCAAATCTGTATTATTCCTTTGGGGATTTGACATTTAA